GCCAAGTATTTACTTACACTGGATGGATATTATGGTTTGATCATTACTTCATTTTGATTTTGTTCTGATGGTGTCTGTGGTTTTATGGGAGTTCTTATTGTGATACTGAAGATCAAAGACCACAGCCTTCAGTATGGATTACATCTCAACATAAAAAAAAAAAAAAAAAAATCCTCACAACTGGACCAATAAGCCACATCATGATAAACGGAGAAAAGACTGAAGTTGTCAAGGATTTCATTTTTCTTGGATCCACAATCAACACCCATGGAAGCAGCAGTCAGGAAATCCAATGACTACTTTGCTAAGTTAGCTCCTTTCTAATGAATAAGGGAGAACTTTAGAACTACAAAATTTCTATGTTGAACCATCCATTTATTTCCTTTTTTCTTTCTTACATATCTTATGTCTTTGCCTCCTTTTATCAATGACTGGGGTGGGGATACAGCTGATGATTAACATCTCAAGCTATGAAGTCAGACCTAGATTCTGCTTTCACCCTTAATCTAGTGTTGGCTCTGCTGCTTCTACTTTGAAAACTAGATTAGTCCACGGACAGACAGTTTTAATTGCCAGAAAGGCATTTATTTTGTTGAGCTGAAGTCTGGCTTAAGATAAATGATTGTCTAGCCCCAAAGGACATCAGGAATTCTATATGTCTTATATGAATCCTTATGCCAGGAAATCATGGGAGATGGAGATTACCCCTCTCATTTATTTATATTTATGCCATAGTAGATGAATCTGGAGTGAATTAAATTTGTTTTAACAAAACACTTCTAAGAATCTGCTGCTGACTATATTCCAAAACTCCAGCACTTATACAAATGATTTTGGTTACACTCTGCTGAGCATTTTATAACTTCTAAGAGCATGCAGGAGCCTGGTGGCATAGTGGTTAAGAGCTCAGCTGCTAACCTAAAGGTCAGCAGTTTGAATCCACCAGGTGCTCCTTGGAAACCCTATGGGGCAGTTCTACTCTGTTCTATAGGGTTGCTATGAGTCAGAATCGACTCGATGGCAACGGGTTTTGGGTTTTAAGAGAATGTGATTGTGAGTCCTGGTGGCGCAGTGGTTAAGTGCTTGGTAGTTAATCGAAAGGTCAGTGGTTTGAACCTACTAGCTCCTCCATGGGAGAAAGATGTGGCAGTCTGCTTCCATAAAGATTTACAGCCTTGGAAACTCTATGGGTCAGTTCTACTCTGTCCTATAGAGTCGCTATGAGTTGGAATTTAACTCGACAGCATGGTTTAAGAGCACGTGATGGAGCTAGAATGAAATATCTCAGACTTAGAACAGAGACCACTTGCCTCATCAGGGGAGACAGTGGCCATGTGGTGATCTACAGTTATTAATCAATGAGGAAGGAAACTAAGAGACCCCTCCAAGTCTCTTTATTTTCTTCCGTAGCCTGAGCTTGGTAGCCTAAGTTTTCTCTATTTTTTGTTTTATTCAGGATCACTGAGGCACTGCAGAAGCATAAATCTTTACATATCTGCAGTGTGACTCACTCTGTTTTATTATAATCCTGGTGTGTGTGTGTGTGTGTGTGTGTGCGTTTAAAGGGTTTTCAAGCAAGGATTGATAAATCCTAGCTTGTCCCCACCTCCACCTCATAAGCTTGTGAAATATCAGAGCATAAAACATGGGGTCAATCAAGTCATCTTCTAGGAAATCAATCGAGGAGGAGAGAAGCCCTTCGATCTGCATACTAATCATTTTCTTTATCCTTTAAGGACATGCAGCAGAGCATGGTAATGTAATTAAAACAGTCCTTTGTTTGGCTGGATTCAGGAGCACTCATTCCATTTGCAAATGGCCTATCCATTTGAGATATTTGAAAATAGCAAAATGTATGATGACATTAATCTAACCTGTACACTAAATCTGAAAATGCAGCAAAGCCAGTAGTGTATGTGCTATAAAGGAAAATAAAATTTCACATATGAGCTCTGTTTTAAGGGCCTAAGAGCTGTCTTAGTTATTTCCATTTTTAAATTACTGTGCTACCTTTCACGTACACTCATTTATTTGGTTCTAAGAAAATAAGCCTTCTTATGATTTAGATGTTTTTAAGGACCTAAGAGATTTTTTGATAATATAATAATAAAAGTAAAATCAATAATTGGATATCAGTGATGGGTGCTCATAAATAAGCAACATTTCCAGCTGTTTTTTCTTTCCAGAGATTTCTGGCTTTTTTCTCCACACCCTGTTTTGAAATCAATACCCTTATTAGATCTGGCTTATGTTGTCCTAATGGGGTTCCTTCTAACCGGGATGGACCCAGGCTGGTTGTACACAATGGCCTGAGCTGGACCAGAAGGTACAGTAGACTTCCATGATTATATTTTTCTGATAGTTCTATAAATTCCCTACCAATGGATTTTGAAATACATTTTAAAAACTGTTTCAAGTTTGCCCTTAGAACCATAAATGGTTCTCTGCTTGGGTTCATAGATAAGCTCTAGCAGCTTACCCCCAGGACTATTTGTAATTTGCTTTGTCTCTGGAGCTGAGATTTAGACCCTACCTTCCAGACAATTGCTGAAATCCTGCGCTCCTCCTTAGCCAGCTCAGTAAAATGAGTTTTAAGCATCCTGGGTTTATTACGCCTTAAGAAATTTTCCATTCTGTAATATTCCCTCATTTTCAGGCCCCTTGATGCTGAGCTACAGAATTCCTTTGCAAAATTATAAGAGAAACTCCTTCCCCTTTTGTAATAGAGAAATAACACCCCAATTCCACCTAATTTTAGCAGGAGCAGAGGTAACTCGTGGTTGGATGGGCACAGAGCCCAGTTTTAAGCTGCCTCCACCTCACTGCAATGCAGAAAGGCAGAAGGCGCAAGAAGTCTGCAGAGTTTAGCAGCTTGCCCATGGGACTTGGTAGTTTCTGGGGCACAAAAATCTTAAGTGAAACCTAGTGAAGAAGGGGTAAAAAAGAACACGAAAAGAAAAATTTCTTCTCCTGCAAGTGAGGGAACTTTCTTTTACACAGAGAGACAACATAGGGGAGAAAAGCAAGCACAATAGAATCAGATAGAAGACCAAGGTTCAAATCCCAGCTCTGTCACTTACAGTGTGACATCAGATAAGGGCTTAACCTTGTCATTCTGAGGCTCCACTTCCTCATATGAAAAAGGATATACAAATACTTCCCCCAGAGTGGTTGTGAAGTTCAAATGAGGTAATATGTTTATTGCCCAGTATAATGTCTGACACATAGTAATTAGGTATTGAATAAATTATAGCTATTGTTAATAAGTTTCAGGATGCAGAGGATCTCATTGTCTAATGAATCTGAAAGTCAAACTGCATATCATTAATATGCTATGCAGATGGACTTCCTCACAACATCAGAGGCTCATTTTGTTATCTGGTTTTGTTACAACACTTGGTGTTACTTGTTTCCCTTCCCTTCTCCTCTGAACATGTCTTCCATGTTACCTATTGTTCTGATTTTAATAATTTATCAATTCTGTAAGAAGCTTTTAATATCTTTCTTTTATAGATGATTTTATGGTAATTAGTGGTGACTCACTGCAAATAGGAGAAAGATACAAATTAGAGCCAGAGATCATATAAATGAATAAAAGAATTTTGGTTTTGCTTACAGAAGGACCCATAAACCAAACAGAATTCTTAGAAGCGGCAACCAATATCTGTATTGCAAACCCATGTATTGATGAAATGATTGTTCCTTAAGAAGTCCTAAAAGGACCTAGATTAATTCTTTTCGTTAGTGCAAGACTGACAGATTACTCTTGACCAGCAGTACTATCGATGTATCTTGAGTGTCATAGAAGTGCTCTTAGCCAGTTGAAATTGAAGAGAATAATATCCTGAAGGATTCAGCAAGCCCTAGTTTCAACCACCAGCAGCAGCTGTGAGTTGAATCCATATATCCCCTCACTTGTAGTCTCCATTCCGGAACCTGGCATGGCATTAGGGAATCTCAACTTGGTATCTGTCATGGATTATATCCCCCCAAAAATGTGTGTCAATTTGACTGGGCCATGATTCCCCGTATTGTGTGATTTTCCTATATGTTGTAAATCCTGCCTCTATGACGTTAATAAGGGAGGATGGGTGGCAGTTGTGTTAGTAAAGCAGGACTCAATCTACAAGATTGGATTGTGTCCTGAGGCAATCTCTTGAGATATAAAAGAGAGAAGCGAGCAGAGAGACAGGGGGACCTCATACCACCAAGAAAGTAGTGCCAGGAGCAGAGTGCGTCCTTTGAACCCAGGGTCCCTGCACGGAGAAGCTCCTAGTCCGGGAGAAGATTGATGAGAAGGCCGACAGAGAGAGAAAGCCTTCCCCTGGAGCTGATGCCCTCAATTTGGACTTTTAACCTAGTTTACTGTGAAGAAATAAACTTCTCTTTGTTAAAGCCGTCCACTTGTGGTATTTCTGTTACAGCAGCACTAGATGACCAAGACAGTATCCATGAACATCTGGATGCCAGATACTCCTATAAGTCCTTAAATCTGTCCAAAGCTTTGTATGTGTGTACTTTTCTGGGGAAAGGGTTCATAGCTCTCCAAAGGATCTGTAACCCAAAAAGTCTAAGAATCACTGCATTAGAGGAAAATTCCATTATTGCTGCCCATGTTCTACCTAAAATACCAGGGTTCTGCAGAGGTATATCCCATTTCCAAAGGAGGAAAATATCCTGATTTTGAAGGATTCTTATATAATGTGACTTCTGCCAGTTCATTCTCAAGAAATGTTTCTCAGTTAAGCTAATCAAGCCATTGTCCAGGCACATAATGCATTGTCTTTCATCATTTGATTCCCCCCTCCCTGTCAAGAAATTGTCCACTTAGTGCACTATGTGTTGCTGACAAGACTATCCGAAACAAGCTTTGGCTGAACAAATGTGGATATGCAGAGCAGAGAACGTATTATTTCTGAATTCTTTGGGGTGTAGTTGTCTCTCTGAACCAAAAACAGTGCCCGTCAGTTAAACAGCAGAAACCACAGAACACATATTACGTTGGTGGGATTCGTGTGACTTTTATTTCTTATTTTACTAATGCCTTACAGTATGAGTGAGGAGTAAAGACAGAGGTGGGGTAAGGGGGAAGAAGAAAAGTATCTTTCAAGTTCCTTGAATTATTGAGGCATGTGTTAGAATAAGTTCAGTAAAAGCATCCATCCTGATCACCCAAGAGCTCTCAGTGGAGATCTGTCTAACAGACACGGGAAACTCTTTAACTCTAGTGGAAGTGACTGCTGACAGAGAATAAATCCTGCACTGAATTTGGCACACATGAAGGACTGGACAATGCAGATGCTATACAGCTGGGCAGATGAGAAGGTGACTCTCCAGAAGCTACTTCCTAGCAAGTGAGTAGGGGCATGAGCACCCCTCCTCTGTTCTGAATGCCTCTTCCTCTCCAGCAAGGAAAGGAGACCCTGCCAATTGCGCAGCAATGTGGAAAGTGTTGTCGGAAAGACTTTTAGAAAAGAGAAAGATTTTTTATATCTGTTGGTGGTATTGCTTGACCAGAAATGGTTGTATATATATATATATGTATATATATTTTTACTTTTGGGCAGTAGCATTGCGTCCTGGTGACAAAATATCCTACACTTAAGCACTCTTAAAAGGCATAGGAGAGTGAAAACAAGGCCTCTTTAGGGCCTAGACTAGTGGGAAGAGGAAATATGGATTCTGTTTAAGGGTAAGAACATGGAACAGCTAATTCTATGTATCACCACAAATGAACTGACATAGACAGATAAATGAGACCTTGGCTTTTTTCATTCATAGAAATACTCACCGCTTCTAACTTACACTACTAAATCTAAGGTCAGCTTAATCACAGTTTGGGATAACTATTACTGTGCCTCTAAATTTAAGGTGAAAACTAAATTTTTAATAGTCATTTTTTTTCCCTAATTAAATGGATTTGAGTAAGTTCAAAGCCTACAATCTAAGGACTCCAGTATTTTATTTGTTTGGGGACAACCCTTAAAACTCATCACTGCCTTTTATTTTTTTTTAACCTACAGAATTAGAAGGATATGAAATGGCAGAGAGAAGTCATTACACGAGTCATAGAAATGGTCAACATGCATCTAATTTTACCCCTTGAGCAAGGAGTGCTCAAGGGGGTAAGCTCTTTTGAAAAGAATCTAAAGTGTTTAAAAGGGAAGAATACTACAATAGCTTTTCTTTTTTTTCTTCCACGGATGGAAGAAAAAGACTATGGAATTGAGGTGGCAGTGGAAAGGAAAATGTCTTTTAAGCAACACCTATCATTTGTGGAACAGTTCCATCAGAGTGGCGTTAGGTGTGAACCATAGGTTTCTCTTTGGCAGTGATCTTATGTTTTAGGTATCTAAAGTGAGATTATATAGCTGGGTAATGACTGGGTATAGTGAGTGATGTAGGTTTTAATTTCTATTCACAGCAAATGATGATGATCACAGATTTAGCACCTTAGTTTGTACTTCCTCTGCATCTGAATCATCTATTGCTATGAAGCCTGAGCTGTAGGTAAGAAGGCCGTATTCTTAGATAACTCTTCTGTGATTGTTCCAGGACTGTAGTTTGCTCCAATCTAAGGGGTGATTTTCTTATTAGAGAAAGTATTCAATACTAAGTATGAGACTGAAGTCTTGAAGACATTTTATAGTGGTGACAGGTGTTTTGGTTCAGGAACAGACTGTTTAACGAGTCAAATGCATATTATTCCCTCTAAAGCATTAACTTTTTTTAAGCAACTGAATTATATTTTTTGGCTTGAAATGGTGCTTTCTTCTATATTTGATTTCTCGGTTTTCTTAGTAGATATTACTGTCTCCTCCAATATTTCTTCAAAACTTTCCCCTATCTGGGAGGTTTTCTTAGAAGCTACCTTGGAAGCCTCCTCTTCCTCCTCCTCTTTCTTAAGTGACAGCCCAGTGGATGAGACTTTGGAGGTTGTAGAACTGAAGATTCTAGATGGGAGCAGATAACTTGGATTGGGAAGTGGATTCAGCCCTGAAATGCTTAATCCACTGGTGCTAAAACGGGTCTCTTCACCTTCCAGCAGTTTCCTGTAAATTCCAGAGAGAAAAAAATCTCAGGAAGTCAACTTGCCACTTTTTTTTAAGGACATACCCCTCTAGTCCCTATTCATTTTAGAGACTGAGACCAAAAAATATTGAATTCCAAGGCTCAAAGAGTTGTCATGTATACACATACACATGTACCCATACATGTACAAACACACACACACACACACACACACACACACACACACACACACACACACACACCACGCTCGGCACCATCTGTGTTTAAATCATTGTCAAAGGGAAACACCTACAACTCCCCTTGGCCACATCACACCCATATTTGACACTTAGCGTCTCTGAAGCTCTAGGGAGAAGTAATTTTGCTAATTAACACCTTAAATGCAACAGGGATAAGGAGGTGAGAAGTCCACAAAGGAAGAAGGAACTGCATCATTTTTCTTGAACTTGAGATTGGTACTTTTTCAATGTATAGCCGAACAAAAGGAAGGAACCAACAATAACAAATAACCAGTAAATGCAACTGTTACAGACAGGAGATTTTTTTCTCAGCCTGGCCTAAACAGTACTATAAAAGAATAGCCCCAGTACCTTGTTTCTTATAACTCCAATAACTTTCATCATTTTTTTTTTTTATCAGAAACTCAAGACACTATCAAAAACTCCTGGAACTCTGAAGTAGTATACATAGTATAAAGAAAAAAAAAAGGGGGGGTGGGGTGGCTCAGATAGATCTAGGGTTGAATCTGAGCTCTGCCATTTACCCAGTGCTGTGACTCTGGACAAGTTACACAATCTGTGGTTCAGTTTCCTCATCTGCAAAATGGGAACATTAAAGCTGATACCTAGAAAATGTATGTGAAGTATCTAATATATGTGCCTGGCACACAGTAGTCATTCAAAACATAGCTGCTGTTATTACCTTTTTTTTAGGTAAATGTTCACTGAATATTGATTGCCTTCGTAGAAGTCCAGTGGGATGCTTCACTCGTTAGAACTTTCTAGTTGTATAAGCCGTATTTTTCAAGGTAGTCTGATAGGTTTTATTTCAGCCTCTGAGTACTCATATTACTCCCTTAAATCCTTGACAGGGGTACACAGAATACTCCAAGACTAGTAAGGTGAAGCTGGGATATATCCAAGTACTTGGACAGAGGGGTCAGCTCACCTGGAATATACCAGTTATATCCATCCTCATCCCCCCTCATCCTTCAGAAACCAGAGGAACCAGAACCACTCCTTTGGGTAGCATTGCCCCAGGTGACTGGATCTGCTTAGGTGAGCATGCCCTTTTAATTACCTGTACGCTGCTATCTCAATGTCAAGAGCCATTTTGACATTGAGCAAGTCTTGATATTCCCGCAGGTGGCGAGCCATCTCACTCTTGGTGTTCCTCAGATCATTCTCCAGCTGCCCAATGCTATCCTGGAAACAGACATATCCAAAATATTTAGGCCAAACTGGCTGAGATTCATCAAAATTTCCCCAAGGCAAGGGTTTTCGATTCTGACTATACACAGGAACTTATAAAATACTGACACCCATGCCTGTCCCCCACCCCAGATTCTGATTCATTTGTTCCAGAGTGTGGTCCCAGCATCTTCATTTTTTCATAAAGGTCCTCAGGAGATTCTGATGCAGGGTGAGGGTTGGGAAGCACAGGACACATGTTCTCAACTGAACACTATGGAAATTTTTTTTTTTTTTCTTTAACTTACCATCCCTCCCTGCTTGTTGTATTGCTACTAAATAACTCAGTCATTATATGTCCTTTCCAAAACCCAGAGCCTTAGTTTAGGTGCTTATGGTCAGGAAATTCTAGCCGTGGAAAGCAGAGAAAGGACAGCAAGCCTTCTCTGCCTCCATTCCATGCCTTCGTTCATTTTGATGGTTTTGCAGCCTTTCCTGAAGTCTGCTGCTCAATGACTTTACTGTTACAATTACTTTACATAAGGAGGAAGCAGAAATATTCAACAGAATTTTTTTTTTTAATCCAAAGGACAGACTGAAATTAACTGAAAAAAGAAACTAGATTCATGTAAGACTTGCTCCAAGTTCTTCCAGGTGCAAAACCTGGCATGGAAAAAAAATAGCTTTACGTTTGTGACTCTTGAACAGCCAGAAGGATACTTTAAAAACAAAGCAGATCCTCTTGCACCTGCTTAAAACCTTCTGACAGCTTTGGAATAAAATCCAAACTCCTCAGCATGACCTGTACTCTTTTCCTTGCTCAATGTGCTTCAACCACCCTGACCTTTTTTGCTCCTTAAACATACAGAGTTCAGTGCCGCCCCAGGCCCTCTGGGATTGCTATTTTCTCTGCCAGGAATGCTCGGTAAGGGTCTTTACATGGCTGACTCCTTGTCATGTAAGACTCAGTTTAAATGTCCTCTCCTCACCTCAGGCAGATCTTCCTTGGCATCCAATTTAAGATCCTTCCCCCTCAACCTATCCAGCAGATTATTTTGCCTCAAGCCAGGGCAGCTGCTAGCCCATGCAAGACCTTGTGCCAGTTAGAAAAAGGCATGCCCACAGGGATGACAAATTAGAAGAAAGCACCCACTGGAAAGTGGCCACTTTGCTTTTAGCTTTTATCACTATCTGAAACTATCTTCTTTATTTATTTCTAGTTTATCTTCTGCTGCCTTCCTCTATAACGGAGTTTCTTAATCTCAGCACTATTCTTTGTTGTGAGCAGCTGTCCTGTGCATTGTAGGATGTTTAGCAGCATCCCTGGTCTCCATCTACTAGATACTATAGCAACCCCCTCCCTCTAGTTGTGATTACCACAAATGTCTCCAAAAAATAAAAAATCAAACTAGTTGCCATCAAGTCAATTCTGACTCATAGCGACCCTATGGGACAGAAGAACGGCCCCATCAGGTTTCCAAAGAGCAGCTGGTAGATTCATACTGCTGACCTTTTGGTTAGCAGTCGAGCTCTTAACCACTGTGCCACCAGGGCTCCACAAATGTCTCTATACATTGTTAAAGGTCCCCTAGGGGGCAAAATCACTCCTGGTTGAGAACCACTACTCTAGAATATAATTAACATGGAAGCAGGGACCCTTTCTGTCTAGTTCATCTCTGGGAGCTCAGGACCTAGCACAATGCACACGGTAGGTGCTCAATGAATAGTTATTGAAGGAATGAATGATGCTACATAAGCACTTCTTCTTTTTATGACCTGAAAAGCTATGAGCAAATAACTCACATAATTCAACTGCGTATTTGCAGAGATGGACAGCACAGTGACTGAGAAATTTTCATGAAACAGTGATAATATATCAGAAACCTCAAGAAAGTAAGTGCTCCTTTGTAACTCCCCTTATGCGGACCTAAATTCAGTGATGGTGAAAGGCAGGGCTGACACATCAGGGGGTGCAAGCTTCCAAATCAAGAGAACCTGCAGAAAGAATTAAAATTCACACCACCTACCTGTTCTATGAATATTGACAGGAATACTGCAACGGAGAAATTCAACTGACTGATGGGTAGAGAGCAAGGGATGACAGGAGGTGGTGAAAATATGATACAGCAATGGAAATATCCCAGCATGTGTTAAAAGATCATAAGGGCTTAAAAGGATTTTCACCAAGAAATTTTAGTTGATGGTTGCTACAAACAAGTCTGCTATTTTTGGATTAGGGTTAAGGCAATAATACTACTGTGGTAACTGGGAAAGGAGTCAAGGGTGAATGGAAAAGGAGAAAGGAGGAAATATTATCATTATGCAAAGCTGCAGGAAAAATGGTATATGAGAATAAGAGAAGGATTTCACCAGGATCTTGGGTTGCATTTCTTGCTCTGCCACAATCATTCAAAATACCTCAGTCAGTTTCGTAAATTTTAGCTTCTTTAAACCTTCTATTTCTGCATATGGAAAATGATAAATGTTTATTCTTTTCTAAGGTGTTCTGAGATCCTCAAATTTGGATTCCAATTTAATGAACATTACATTATCAAACGATAAGTCCATTAACTGTTAAATTAGATAACAGGGATTAGAACAGCACTTTGCACATAAGAAGTGCTCAATAAATGTTAGTGATTTTTATTATTGTTAATATCATACCACGTGACTTTCTATCCTTTTAATGATATGGACAGACTAATCAGAAGCCATCTGTACACCCACTTGGAGAACTAAGAAGCAACGTATAACAAAAACTTTTAATATTGGATCCTGTTGCCATCGAGTCCATTCTGACTCACAGTGACCCTACAGGACAGAGTTGAACTGCCCCATTACAAGGCTGTAATCTTTATGGGAGCAGAGTGCCACATCTTTCTCCCTGGGAGCAGCTGGTGGGTTCAAACTGAACTTTTGGTTAGCAGTCAAGTGCTTAACCACTGTACACCAGGACTCCTTTAATATTGGATAGTTGGAAGTATATCCCTTAAAGCACACTTTAAAAAAATTACAATTTTGAACAAAAAGAAACCTTTCTAAATTGGTGTGTACAACATTAAACACAATGAAACCTTTCTTAGCAATTAAAGGTCATGATAGATGATCAATTATTTTTCTATAATTCAATGATTCTTTTATGTCAACCAAGGTGTACTGAGCTGTTTACTTCTACCCTAAATGGCCCCAAAGAGCAGTATCTGAGTTAGCATTTGCTGCTTAGTGGTTTTCTTTGTCCTGAAAGGTGAACTGACCTGTTGTTACTCATTCCTGACAATGCCTGACTCTAGTGGGCCCTCTTGCCTTCTATCTTGTGGCAGGCTCGAAAACCAAATTACAAAGCATTTTAGAACCATGTAACATAAGAACGCTCTTATTGGAGCCCTGGTGGTGCAGTGGTTAAGAGCTCAGCTACTAACCAAAAAGTTGGCTGTTCGAATCCACCAGCCACTCCTTGGAAACCCTATGGGGCAGTTCTGCTCTGTCCTATAGGGTCGCTATGAGTCAGAATCGACTCGACAGCAGCAGGTTTTGGTTTGGTTTTTGGTAACACAAGAATGAATAGGCTAGGCATCACAGGGGCCAACTTTCAAGTATGTGATTTAGAGACAGATGTTCTATCTCATTAGCAGGTTAATTAGGTCCTTTTTCAAAAATTACTTTTGCTTCAGTGCTGTTTCCTTACTACAAGGTTGTTGAGTAGCTGAGTTCTAGATAGATGATATTTTCTTGCTTTCATGTTACACATTTCACATGTCTATTTATGGATCAGAGCAGACAAAAAGCATGACTTTGCTCCTTTCAGAAGGAATTGTACTGCCTGCTGACCACTGCTCTTTTAAGTCTCCTCTCTGTTTGCTCTCTCCTCCCTGTACCAGGCGTTGTCTTGTATTGCCCTTCAAAAGCCCTGCCAAAGATGGCCTCCAGCTTGAAATGTGAGCAGAGCGCTGCAGTCTGCTCCCTCCCCCAACCACGCAGCAGCTGCTGGCTTAGCCTGAGGGAATAGGTAGGAGGCACTCCCAGCTCCAGCTGGGGTCTCTCCTGGAGCAGCTAAGACAAGTGCTGAGAGTCTTCCCCAAGAGCTGGAAGAATGCTGTCTGGGAGGAAGAGAAAGAACAGGCCATGCTAGCATCTGTAGTGCAGAAAATCAGGATACACAGTGCAGTGGATTTCATCAGTTTTAGGGGGCCCTCAGCCAGGCAAGCAGTAGCACAGCATAGTCTGATTGGAAGAGAACATCCAGAACAATGAACTTAGGTGGGGAGAGATGATTTTTATATGTGGTCCACCTGAGGTTACGATGCATGCTTTATTCGCGCTCCTGTCTTTGTCCCCATCTTTGTTTCCCGCTCCCCACCACCACACTTTAAAAATTTTGCATTGTATAATCCCGGACAGCTGCTTTACACTAGAAAATGTGATTTAGGTCACTGCGTCCCCCAAATCAGTCTGAGGACCCACAGGATGCAGCACTTTTATTGAAAATGCATATTCTTGAGTCCCATCTGTGAATACCTGAATCCACATTTTTGGGAGTGGGCTGAGAATCTTTTATATTTTTAAGCCCCAAGTGATCCTGATGTGCCACTGGGTTTAGGAACTACTAGTTTAATTTTATTTCTGTAAAGGTGCTATCATGGTAGCCCAGGTGATAGTAATCCAGCGAGGGTAGAGGGGGTAGGGAGACAAAAAAAGAAAAAAAAAAACCCAGATGGAAGAGTTAAACAAAAAACCAAACATAGCTTTTTTCTTGAATTCTAATTTCAAAAATGGATCTATCAAGCAATAGATTTATATGCAGCCACTGCCACCCCCAGTCCCCACAGGGCAAGACCCCTCCTGCTATTTAATTAGGTTGTACTCCAATATCATACTGGAAAGAAGAGGCCAGACTTGGCTCATCTCCCTGGAGAGCATTAACCAACAAAGATCTTGACTGCTCAGCAAGGTCTTTCAAGACAAGCTTCAGCTTTCCAAGACCAACCACAGTACAGGGCTGTGCCCTGAGTACCCTCCAAAACCATTCTTAGACATCTTTGGCAGAGCTGGGGCTCTAATGGCAGTGAAGCTGCCTTGCAGGAACCTGAACCATCCTGGGTCAGAAACGGAAAAGCCTTCAGCTAAAGGGGATGGGTACATTTGGCTTTTGAAGACAATAACCTCTTTATGATCTCTCCTCTTGCCTGACTTGAACTCTCTCATACACCATTGTGTATTTATTATGTCAGCTTGAATCATTCTTTACTCTTTCAAAACTGTAATAAGCTTCCTGTCCTCAAACAGGCTGTCTGTTCTCTAGGGCAGGGAAAATAAGACTTTAACAGGGCCTTCTTTTGCCTCTTAGAAGGTGGGAAGCTTGCAAAGTATAATGGGCCTCCCAGTAATCTCTGAAGCAGAAGAAAGAGAACAGCCTACCAGTACTGCAGTGAAAGGGGTGGGGTGGGGTGGGGTGAGAGGGCAAGAAGACAATGGCTGACTCTCACCATGGAGAGGAAGGCTTTTTACCTTGGTCTACACTGCTAAAATTGGTAGCGAGAACAACCGGAGGACACCCCTGTGTCTTCAGGCCTTCAGGATCACAGGCGAGGTTGTGAGTCCCACCTAAGCCTTAGGTTCCAAGGGGTAGGAAATAGCTCTCTGTTGTCTGACCTCCTCTTCCACTCCCACCAGCAGGTCCACTGAACCTCTGAAGGCTAAAGCTGATGGGGGCAGCACTGCAGAGCTGCACATGCCGCAGTTTCTGTTTTGTTGTTTCCTGTAGACCATATCTGCATGGCTCTATTGTCTAACCCTAGGAAGCCTTTTAAAACAAACAAGCCAGACAACACAATCACCACCTTCTAGAATGAAGGGCTATAATAAGCAAACAGAGGACACGGCAAAGTCTAATTCAGATGGCAGATGTGGGTAAGTTACCCTTTTTGTAGAAATACTGGACTAGCCCTCCAGATGACTATCTAGCTTATCCTTTGAGGCTTCCAGAAGAAAACATGAAGCCTCAATTAACCAAATGTGATTCATTTGGCACTAAAATAGTACTCTTTGAGATTCCATTCCTTTGTTAGCTCTATTAATGTACGCAAACTCTATTAATTTAATCAAATGTAAACTTTGATCCTGGCTACGGTGAGCTATTACAAGTTTCTGAATTATTGGCATTCTAGCCAATGGAATTTTCATTATACCTTGAAGCTGAACTATACTATTTCGATTATTTTCTACACTTTTCATTCACCCTGTCTCCTGCCTCTGTGACCTTACCTTTGTGATCATAAGCCTGAATGTCCTACAGTAAAACTGAAGATGCAGTGGCCTTTGTTGGGAGAGAAAAGGAGGAAAGAGCCAATCAATACCTTCACAGGAACTCAGAAGGCAGGCAAAGATGGGAAAAATAAGTGCCTGTAACAAAGAGAGACTCTATCTCTGTGATTAATCACATGCACTTAAGATGGAAAAATGTTTAGGAAATAGGCATTTTCAAGTGGGATCTCACAGCTGCTGAGCAGATTAAGTTGTTTTTGTTAAGCACTAAGCCATCCATGAAAGTGAAAATTGACACTGTCCAGGAGGTGACCTTTGATTGCAGGTAGCCAAGACTGATGTGTTAGTATTGCAGCAGGAAAAAAAAAAATCAAAGAAGTTAATTGCCTAGAGAGTCATAACTGGGACATGAGACTGGAGAAAGAAAGAAAGAGAGGAAAAAAGAGAAGGAGAGGGAGGGGGAGAGAGAGGAAGAGAGAGAGTTTCTGAGATGGAAAGACCTGAAGGTGGTTCATTTCACGATCAGCACCGTGGACAGCGCCGCAACCAACCTAACGGGTCTAAAGCTTCATTTTGAAAAAAAGGTCCACAAGGGAGCCTCATGTGTGGGTAGTAGAATAGGGCGGGTGTTACTAGCCCCACAACCTAGGTGGTGGCTCCCAATCTCTACTCCTTTGAAGGCAAAAGTCAAGAAAATGGGTTAGGATCTTTCCCAGTTCAGTAAAGCAGTCTTCCTCCAACTCTGGGGCCCAACATGCTCCCTGAATATCAATTCCAGGGCCTACTCAAAGCCTTTCAAAGTCAACAAAGAAGCCAGACAACCCAGACACCACCGCTGACCAAGGAGAAGCTGTAATCCTCCTCGGGTGGGTTCACTTCCAACTTTGAGTGGGGGACTGTTCCCCAGGTCGCCAGTGTGTGTACGTCCACTTGCTGCCAGGGAGGCATGAGTTAATTTTCATACAATAATATTGTATGATTCTGAAAAACAGGGCTTAGGGCTTTTTTTATTAGAAGAGCTGAGTCAGGGACGTGAGGGGCAGGGGAAGAGGGCTTCCAGGCCCCCAAATTAACTGTGGAGGCTCCAGGGCTTTTTGTTTGCCAACACCTCCGTCAGGGCTCCTCTCCTTTCTCTCCTTCCCTCCTCTCCCCTCCCCTTGGTTCCTAGGGCCAGAATTTGCGGGGAGCGTGGGTAGGCGCGAGAAGGGATAGGGGGCCCTTCCCTTTGCAGCGCTGCAGCCCTTACCTGGTAGCCGGCCACCTCAGCGCTGTGCCGCTCCTCCAGCTCCAGGATCTGCCTCTCCAAGGACTCGTTGGCCCCGCGCAGCCCCTCAATCTCGATGGTGCGTGCCTGCAGCTGGCGACGGTACTCGTGGATCTCCTCGCGGCTGGCCCGGATGGCCTCAGTGCTGCGTGCCGCCTGCTCGTTCAGGTTGGCGAACTTGGACTTGTACCATTCCTCGGCGGACTGAAGGTTCTTGGCGGCCAGGGACTCATACTGGGCGCGGATCTCCCTCAGTGCCGAACTCAGGTCTGGCTTAGCCACAGCCACGTCCACCTCGGCTGCGGCCTGAGATGACGCCTGCAGCGTGGCCAGCAGCTCGGCCACCTCCTCGTCGTGCACCTGACGCACGAAGGCCAGCTCGTCCAGCAGCGACTCCACCTTCTTCTCCAGGTCCAGGCGGGCCAGCGTGGCGCCGTCCACGTCGCGCTGCTGCGCCTTCAGGGCGCGCTCGGCGCCTTCGCGCCCGCGGCTCTCTTCCTCGCAGCGCGCCCGCAACCGCTGCACCTCCTCGGCCAGCCCGTCGCGCTCCAGAAGGGCCTGCGCGCGCGCTGAGCTCGCCTCCTCCAGTTGCGCACGCAGATCGCGCAGCTCGCGCTGGAAGAGCTCGCCGACGCGCGACGGCTCGGCTTGGCGCTGCCGCAGCGCGGACAGCTCGGCCTCGAGCGCGCGGTTCTGTGTTTCCAGCTGGTGCACCTTCTCGATGAACATGGCGAAGCGGTCGTTGAGGCCCTGCAGCTGCTCCTTCTCGTTGGTGCGGATGATCTTGTACTCGTTGGTGCGCGCAGCCGCCTGACTCAGGTCCAGCCCGTCGGACGCCGGCGGCCGGCGGTAGGCCAGGCCCAGGCCGAGCGAGGAGGCCGAGGAGCAGGCAGCCGAGGAGGCCACACTGCAGCGGGACAGCGACTGCGAGCGGAAGCTGCCTGCACCGCCCGCCCCGGAGAGGCGCGCGGACAAGCGAGAGCCGTCCCCGAACACCTTGCGGTAGGAGGAGGAGGAGGAGGCGCACAGGTAGTGCTCCGAGCCGAAGCTCATGGTGCCGGGACCAGAGCCGGGCGTGCGGCAGAAGCTGGAACTACAGACGAAAGGCGAGGTGCGTCAGGCAGGACGACCCGGGCGGTGTGCGCAGGGCTTTTAAGGCGCCGGGGGCCCGGGCGCGGCGTTGGGGGCGGAGCTCGTGCTCCGCGTCTGGTCGAGGGAAGGAGGCGGGGGGGGCACTTAGGAGAGGGGGCGGGGAAGCGCAATGGCTACCGCAGCTGCGCGCGCGATGGACCTGGGGCGTGTGGACAGGGCTGTCTGCGTAGGGACTACCCCGTCCCCAGCGCCTGTTCCCAAGAATCGACTGCTTTGGAAGCTAGTTGAACGGAGGGGTGCCTAACGACTGGGGTTTCCCATCCGTAAACCACACAGCTACGTCGCGCCCCTTGACCCTGTGCTCGCTTCCCCCTTTCGTCCACGAGGAGTTTATGGTTTTCAAGAAGGTGGCCTGCACGCCCATCTCTACCCAGGAGTATGGGTGAGGCCTTGTGTTTTTCAGTCAGACTAGGGACTCTCAGGGCGGGGCTTTGTCCTCACCCTCAGCCAGCTCAGGGCCTCCAGGGGGAGAGTGGGTCAGCGTCAGAGACCATCACTCCAACTGTTCCTCTGCAGGTCTCGGGGGGAGTACCCCGGGCGGGAGGCCACATGGAAGTCTGCGACGCCCTGCGTAGGAACGGGAGGTCGGTAAAGAACCGAGAGGTCAGTAAAGCACGTGGGTTGCGCCGGAAAGTGGAAAGAAGGGGCGGTGGAAAGGAAAAGGAGCAGGACTGGGAACAGAAGCGCTGGGAATTAATGCGGCTCCCTGCTAACAAAGCGAAGCACAACGCGGACTAGGGCCACAAACTGGTGGTGAGGTATTGCAGCCGTTTGTGTTTTAAACATTTTGCTTTGAAATATTTCAAAGTGAACATTTTTAAACGTAGAGGTTTCATCTAAGAAGAAACTGGATTTCTGTCTTCTTCTAAAAATGGAAAGAGCTAGGATGGCCACATCGGGCAGAGCTGAGTTGCCTCGACATTTCTATAAGAGAAGTGTGCTCTCAAGTTGACCATAGTCCCCACCACGCTCCACTGATCCCACCCACCATCTTAATTCTGGCCCTGTAGGTATTTGACATTTCAGTCTGCATATGTCCTGCAGGAAAGACCCTCCTCTGGCCTGGGAGAGCCTCATTCCTGTGATGATTCCCTTTTTGGAAAAGAGGTCCCTGCAAACAGATTAAACTGTAGGAGTGGGGAAGGGCCCTGGTGACTGAGCGCCCTTTATTTACTATGGTGGGGGAAATCAAAGAATGGGGTCTGGAAAGATGAAGGCTAGGGGCGTCAGTGTGGAGTTTATACTGTGTATTCACCTTCTAGCCTGTAATATCCCTCAGAATGTGGCTACGACTTTGGATAGGGAGTAGGAAGATCTTTTCAATAGACCCCAGAATTTCAGACTGACAGCCGTTCTTAATTATGGAATGTCAAGGATATAGTTCCAGGATAACTCTAAGGAAGCTTTTTTTCACTGCATGGGGGTAAATGCTGTCTGAGACATGGCATGACAAGGAAGGGCGAAAGGGAGCCCTATGGGACTTTGGAGCACGTCCCTTGCCCTTGTACTTGATGTCATGGAAGATGGCTAGGCCCTGCCACAGCCTGTCCCTCTGATTCCTCATCAGAGACCAACACCTGAGCTGGAGGGACTCAATTCTGAGGTCTTTGGGCTCAGAAAGACCTGGTGATGTGGAGGATGGAAGAGTTCTAACACTACTGAATAACTACTCTCTCCCGGCCAGTGTGCCCGCTATTTTGCATAGGCTTACCTCCTTCCAGCCACTCTTCAAAGGTGGCCCTTATGCCCATCTGTCTTAATTATCTAGTACTGCTATGACAGAAATACTGCAAGTGATGGCTTTAACGAACAGAAATTTATTCTCCCACAGTCTAGGAGGCTAGAAGCCCGATTTCAGGGTGCCAGCTACAGGGGAAGGCTTTCTCTTTCTGTTGGCTCTGGGGAAGGGTCATGTAATCAATCTTCCCTGGTCGAGGAGCTTCTCAGTGCAGGAACTCTGGGTCCAAAGGATGCACTATGTTCCCAGTGCTTCTTTTTTGGTGGTATGAGGTCCCCATGTCTCTCTGCTCACTTCTCTTTTATATCTCAAAAGAGATTGACTCAAGACACAATCCAATCTTGTAGATTGAGTCCTGCCTCATTAACATAACTGCTGCTAATCCCATTTCATCAACATCGTAGAGACAGGATTTACAACATGCAGGAAAATCACATCAGATGGCAAAATGGTGGACAATCACACAATACTGGGAATCATGGACTAGCCAAGTTGGCACACATTTTTGGAGGACATAATTCAATCCATAACACCATCTTACAGATAAGAAACTGAGGCTTAGATGCAGTACTCTCCACAAGGTCACTAGCAAGTAAAGACCAGAGCCAAAATATACATTCTGTCCACTCACTACATAATTCCCTTTTTTAAAGCAATGAGACTCGTGAAGTCTCACTAATTTCCATGCAACCAGAGTAGGGCCAAGTGGGCTTCAGAATCGTTTTGGCCAATAACAAGGTAGCAGGCAGATTTGTAATTGAAAGAACATTGGACTCAGAGTCAGAGGTGATGGGTTTGAGTTACAGTTTCTGCCACTTACTAAGCATGTGGGGATAAAATACCTCCCTCCCTGGGGTCATGAAAGATTGAGCTGATGCACGTAAAGGTGCTTTGTAAGCTATTCCATTATAAGGGGTTATTATCATCATTATTCTCTTTCAGATAAAAGGACACTGATTCGGATCCACCAGCAACAGGATACGAGCTGGGTTTCGAGTTGGGATTGCAGGGAACTGTCCACCACATCCTTGCCCAGGCCTCTAAGCTACCCCTTGGGAGAGAACACAGCCAACCTTAATTATTTGTGGTACCAGGGACCAGCATGAGGGTGGCTAAGTAGATAATTAGATTTTACTTCTGGGCTATGGTTCCAATCTCATTTAAGTTCCCAGGTAATTCTAATGCAGAACTGAAATAACCACAGATAATTAGAAGATTTTACTTCTGGGCTGTAGTTCCAACCTCATTTTAACCATGTTATTCAGAATTACTAAAAATCAGTAAAGTGTCCTGGTTGGAGTTTCACCTTTTTTTCTCTTTCCATCCTCCAGAAGAAGCAGTAACCCAAAGGCAAAACACATAGAGCAAAAGAAAGTGAGGTAAAAGACCCGAATAATCCAACAAAGGGATAATGGACTTGGGAATTCTAGAACGGGTTGTTTTGCACTTTATGAACTACTTACTGAGATTCCAAACTGAGCTTCCCCTGTGAGACTTATATCTGCCCTTTCTTGGTACCCCATCTCACAGGCCCAGATGTTTGGCTTTAATCATTTTAGCACAAGGCTATCCCACGAAAGAATGAGCTTGGCTGAGCCTCAATCCATAACTCCTTCCAGCTGGCTGGGTTTCCTGAGGGTATCCCCTGCTGTATGCCAGGGCTGTGTCTTCATCTTCCTCTAATGCGAGACTTGGGTACCGCAGACACATTGGTCATATGTCCCCAGCTCTCCCTCATGCCACATCCTCTGTAGCCTCTCTGCAGCATCTGGCAGTACTGACCACTCTCCTTGGTTTCAAGGACTCAGTTCTTAGTCTTCTGTTCCTCTCTCATAAACTCTCTTTATTTAAATATTAGGTCTCCCAGAGCCAGGGTAGTTTGTGGTAAAACTCTTTCCCTGAGAAATCGAGTTTGGCATCATGATTCTTCCTAGCCATGTAACCTTGAACAAATCACTTTTATTTGCTGAGCATTAGTTTCTTCATCTGTAAAACTGAAATAAAACCACCCTATCTTACTGGTTCCCAAATTATAATTACCTGGGAATTTAAACAATTCAGATTCCCAGTCCTTACCCCAGACCCACTGAGTCTAGGTTTGAGAACCCTTGACCTATCTCTCAGGAGATTACTTTGAGGATTAAATGAGATAATGTATATGTACTGGTGTTCCACACCTCACAAACCCAAATGTCATGTACTTCAACAGGTAAATAGTTAAATTAACTGTGATACAGCTTTACAATGGAATACTACTCAGAATTAAAAAGAATGGACTATTGATACACACAACAACTTGGATAAATCTCGAGGGAATCATGCTGAGTAAAAAAAGTTAATCTCAAAAGATTACATATTTTATGTGATTCTGTATATATAGCATTCTTGAAGTGACAAAATTATAGTGATAGAGAACGGATCAGTGGTTGACAGGGGTTAGTGTTGGGGGAGGATGTGACTACGAAGGGGTAACCTGAGGGAGTTTTTCTGTGGTGATGAAACAGTTCCGTTACTCAAACCTATACGCTTGTTAAAAATGTGTAGAATTATACACTGAGAGACAGAGACGGGAGAATGTAAAAACTAGCGAAATCTGAATAACTTATGTAGTTGAATTAATAGTGTACCAGTGTCAATTTCCGGGTTTTGATAATGTAAGATGCTATCATAGGGGGAAGCTGGGTAAATGGTTCATGGGAGCACTGTACTGTTTTTGCGTGTCTTAAACTATTTCAAAGTAAGACATGCATAATAATAGTTAAATGTTCTTAGGAGATATGTGAGAAGGAGGAGATAAAGCAAGTGTGGCAAAAATCTAGGTGAAGGGTATACAGATGTTTATTGTATTAACTACGGCTTTTCTCTAGATTTGAATTTTTCAAAATAAGTTAGGAAATTTTATTAACAGATAATTTATCTGTTAATAGTAATCTGTCTATTTATTATCATTTGTAGATAGATGATAGATGATGGATAGGTGGATGGATAGATAGGTAGATAGGGCAAGAAAAGTATTAGCCAAATCTGGGGTTGAACTAGAGACCTTCAATCTAACATTCTCCCAACTTTGGCTGATTGTAAAGTCCTCTCCCTTTTCCTACCCACCCAGCAATAGGAATATTCTGCTTGTTCTGCAGTAACAAAAAAAGATCAGGATTCACACTCTGTTGGGAGTATTTTAAATACTACCCTGAGTCCTTGGTG